AACCACAAAGGACGACCTAGGAGTAGGACGCCGAAAGAAAGCACTGGAAGCCACAGGTTGGTCCTGTGGAGCATCCAGCTGCAATCCGGCAAGAGCATTTCTCACAGTGCCCACTACTGAACCATCGCCCTTAAGGGATTCAACCAGCCCATTCATCCCCTCCAGCTCAGAAGCAAGCTGGGCCACTTGCCGAGACATGCCCTCTAAAATCCTGGAGCACCTCATGCTCCTCTTCCGTGGAGGCCCCATAGCCTCAGGAGCCACACGTTTCACAGGCTGGCTGGCGCCTTGAAGCTCAGCCAAACAAGCATCACCTGGGACATAGGCAGGACAGAACAATTAGGACAGGCCGCATCAGTCAAAGCCTCCTTTAGCTGATCCAGTCCCAAACAAGAGAGACACAAATCATGCCCATCCTCCAACTGGAGAGGGGCCAAACAAGCTCTGCAGCACGGCACGTCCAACATCTCACGCTCACAGGGCCAGGTCAGGTCAAGCTGAAATCGCCACTCTTGACACTTAACCCGAGCGAACAGGTCGGGAAACCCGATCGAGCAGAAAACGCCACCAGGGGTTCCCCAGCAGCAAGGCTGCAAGCAGGACTAGCCAAGCTGCCCACGGGCTGCTGAGAGGATGATGGTTGCGCCGGCTGAGGTCCGCTTTTCTTGCAGTCAAACACCAAGCAACTTTCTGCTCTTAAATTGTTTCTGTGCACGATGTATTGCATTGCGCACTATTGGCATCAGTCTTAATAAAGTGAAGCCACACTTTTGACCTGGGGAGCATTTTAAAGGGGTTCCACGACGCTCGCAACCAGTTCACAACAGATACACATGAACCCTGGCTGTAGGCGTGACCACCTATGTATTTTTCCTGGATGACGCAATCAAGTTAAGTGTTACAGCCAATCACAGAAACTTGGCACCGAAAGACGAGGCATGTTTCGATACTCTGTAGAACCGAAGCATTTCGGTCGGTACCATAAAAAAAACGATGTTCGGTACCCAGCCCTAAGCACGGCAGTGAAAGTAAAAAGCAAGCCCAAAAACGGCTACCAATAAACAAATAAGCAAGCCTTAAAAAACGACTGCTATGACTGGTAGGCAAGCCCGAAAGCGGCTGCACATTAAACAAAATGCGAGCCCGGAAAACGGCTGCTATCAGAAAATATAGGCAAGCCCAAAAGCGGCTGCAAAATAAACATAATGCAAACCTGAAAGCACCCGAAAGCGGCTGTACAATAAACAAAATGAAAGCCCGAAAGCGGGTGCCCAATAAACAAAATGCAACCCCGAAAGCGGCTCCAAAATAAATGAAATGCAAGCCCGAAAGGGGCTGCACAATAAACAAAAAAGCAAGCTCGGAAGCGGCTGCACAATAAACAAAAAAGCAAGCCTGAAAGCGGTTGCACAATAAACAAAAAGCAAGCCCGAAAAGTGGATGCTACAGTAGTAGGCAAACACGAAGGAGCTGTACAGTAAACAAAAATGCAAGCCTGCGACTGCCAGTTAACAAGCTGGTTTGAGTCAGCTAACGTAAAGGCACCTGCAACAGAGAGTCGCGGTGAGAACGGGTCACCATTTGCTGTCGATAAGGAGAGAAAAACTTACCGGACGAAGAAACCAAAAAGTATTAACGAAGAGCTTGCAAAGCCTTCGGAGGGCGAGATGATCATCGCAACTCCGACCTAAGTCTCTAGGCTACCAGAGATAAGCAACAACAGTGTCTTACCACCTGTTCAACCTGCATCCGAGAAGACGAAAAGGTACTGAGCTATCGTTCTCACGTGATTATATAGGCTCACCAGTGTCACCGGGGGTCACATGTGACTATGTTGGTAAGATTCTCGACCTGTGCATGTGCAAGAGTGATCATTCATGCTTCAAGCACCGCCTCTGGTGGTCAGTAGGAATGAAATAGAACTAACAGATATTTAGATGTGAAGCTGCGTGACTTACCAGCTGCTTATATGATTCTTCCTTCTTCTTTGCGTCCTCTGTGGCCATGCAAATTTTTTCATGTAGATGCTTGATCTCTGAAAGTTTTGTAGAAGACTCCAGCTGAGGAAAAAGGGACAACAATAAAACCATCTGAATTTACAGAGTGCATATCGAATTTACTGCACCACTTACGTCCTTGCTGCTGCAGATTTGTTTTAGTCTGCGTAGTTCTTCAATTAGTGGAGCACGATGTTTTTCCCACTGAGATGCCAGATTTACCACCCGACTTGCACCAGTTTCCACCTGAGACTATTGGAGGGAACAGAATGAGTGGTAAGAAAGGAAAAGCCTTGCTGAAAGGTTTACCACGTGATTACAGAGATACATTTTTACCTGAAGCTTCTGCAAGTTGTTGTCTGCATCTGGCAACAGTTCTAGAGTTGTCTTTTTTACCTGCATATCCTCCTGATTTTTAGCATTTTCAAGCTCCCTCTGCTTCAGTTCATCAAACACCTACAGAAAAAATGTTAGATTTTATACAATAGTAAAAACCTCTGCAGTCAAACCAAAGATTAGGCAAGGATTTGGTTTTAGGACTTAGGTCCTGACCTTCTGAAGGTTTGTGTGTCTTAAAACAGCTCCAACATGTTTGTATAGGCAGAGCCTGTCTCTAAAGAAGGTGTAGTGTTTTGCGTTTGATTTGCAGATGGCCGGTGCAAATCATTTTTTTGCATGTGTGCTTCTATCAATATGCAGATCATATTCTAATAACCAACCAGTAAATTTAGACATTTTCCACATGCAAAGCAATTCATCAAATCCAAAACCAAACTTTCTTTCTGTCCTTTTTTTCCCTGCATTTTTTATTGATGTTCATAGCTTTTAGAGAAAGGCTACAAGGTACACTCTAAATATTTTATATTATCATCATTATTTTAGGAATAATAAATATCTTAATCTCCATGGATTTGTATTTCAACTTTCCTTTTTAGCCACTTTTAAACTGCTTCTACACGCTGCTCATTTTCATGGGCGGAAGTAGACCAGTTTGCATGTCTTAACATGCATATGCAATTTAGTGGAATCTCTGAAGATCGAGGCCTTAATCTTTTACAGGGTAATTATTTTACTACAACCTATGAGGGTGTATGCAACACCCGTTTGTCAGCAAATACACTACATAATATTTCAACTGACATGAAATTCATACCATATGGTATCACTAATCCAGCAATTCCTAAAACAAACAGAACCATAAAATATTTGTACAGCTATAGCGGGCTTTCAGTCTTTAAATTTTCCCACATTTCATTAAGTCCCAGCCTTATTCCATAAGAATAAGAGTAATTAATCTCTTTCTTCTAAAAGCAAAACCCACTTATGTCAATGTAGAAATGTTTTTTTTTTCCATTTTGAATTTTCTTTTTTTTTCTTTTTTTTTTCAAAATAGAATACTCGGAATTCACAAGTATACACAACCTTTGCTTAGTAGTTTGTTGATCCATCTTCAGCAACAATCTCAGCAGAAATTCTTTACTGAATATGACGCCATCAGCTTATACCACAGATATTTAGGCAGTTTTTTCCATTTTTCTACGCCAAACATCTTAACACTAGATGTCCCGGAGAATTCCAGTTTTCCTGCAAGCCCCCCTCCCCTCTTCAAGTTCGTGTATTCACTCTGACTTGCTAAGTGTCCATGTTGTAATGCAAATAACCTGTGATGCGACCAGCTCTCCTAGACGAGACTGGATAAAGGCTGAAACAAACTGGCATCAGAACAAGAGCATGCTCCAAACACTTTTCATTACCTGCCCCTGAAACATCAGACCTTTTTGCAGGAATGTCTTGATAAGTCATATCTAAATTTTTTATTTAAGCAAACACTATTGAACAACCAGATATCACACGGGTCCTTGTTCCTGAGCTGAGAACAGGTCATAACCTGAATTAAAAAAATTATTATTTAATGACCCGCGGAAACCCTGCTTTTAACATTCAGAAAATATTACCCAACGAATGAAAGAGGTCTTTAAATTGAAAGCAATGTGTGGCATGTTAATTGACTCACATTTAGGTGGGAAAAGTGGTGTTGCTTTTCTTTTTTTTTTGCCAGTGTATCAATCCTGGAGTTAGTTTTGTGGTGGCAATTCTCAAAATAGCTCTGTGGTGTTGATCAGTTAACAGGGATTTGTGACAGGCTTTGTTGATGTTCAAGACCAGCAAGCGCCAGGACAATCTCTTAAAAGTGTTTCAGCTGTGGGATCGGGCTACCAGCAGTGCAGAGCTTGCTCAGGAATGGCAGCAGGCAGGTGTGAGTGCATCTGCACGCAATGTGAGGCTGAGACTCTTGGAGCAAGGCCTGGTCTTAAGGAGGGCAGCAAAGAAGCCACTTCTCTCCAGGAAAAACATCAGGGACAGACTGATATTCTGCAAAAGGTACAGGGAGTGGACTGCAGAGGACTGGGGTAAAGTCATTTTCTCTGATGAATCCCCTTTCCAATTGTTTGGGACACCTGGAAAACATCTTGTCAGGAGAAGACGAGGTTAGCGCTACCACCAGTCTCGTCTCATGCCAACTGTAAAGCATCCTGAAACCATTCATGTGTGGGGTTGCTTCTCGGCCAAGGGAGTCGGCTCTCTCACAGTTTTACCTAAAAACACAGCCATGAATAAAGAATGGTACCAGAATGTCTTCCGAGATCAACTTCTCCCAACCGTCCAAGAGCAGTTTGGTGATGAACAATGCCTTTTCCAGCATAATGGAGCACCTTGCTATAACTCAAAGGTGATATCTAACTGGCTCAGGGAACAAAACAGAGATTTTGGGTCCATGGCCTGGAAACTCCCCTGATCTTAATCCCATTGAAAACTTGTGGTCAATCATCAAGAGACGAGTGGACAAACGAAAACCTAGGAATTCTGACAAAATGCAAGCATTGATTGTGCAAAAGTGGACTGCTATCAGTAAG